TATGGCTGGAGGGCTCGGATAATCGGAGCCGGACTTTTCCCCTGGCGCAACGCCTTGATCACACATAACTACGGAATAGTCAAAGCTCGCCCCTAGCAGAGGTCTGCACAGCACACTGCTTCAGAAGGTGTGCCTGTGACACAAGTATTCTCTTGATACTTGCATCCCACCCGATCCCCTTGTATACGAAAGAACAACTTCAAAGTCCCTCACCTAGCAGTTTGTGTAGTGTTGTGCTGCTGCGGCTGCAGTTGTACGGCACCTTGGTTTGTGAGAGGATCGAGACCGTCGGACTTCCGACGGCGAGCAGATCGCATATCGGGGGTTTAGGGTTTAGGGTTTAGGGTTTAGGGTCCCATCCTAAAGAACAGTTCAAGCTCTTTTTGACCCCCTATCTTCGTCAAGGAGTTCCCTAGCTGAGCCTCGGAGTGAACCCATCTGACCAAGAATCCCGTTCGCTGCTGAGATTCTTTCAGGCTGAGGAGCTCCAGATTTGCCCGCTTCTCGGCCCCCTTAATACTCACCACTTCAACACTCAACTTGTCGTACACATTTCTTGAGTCGGAGATAACGCAACCAGTGACCTTAGAAGCGCAGCCCTCTGGGTCCCTTGCATCTGCCACTCCGTGCATTATCTCGCTCCACTGGTAGCGGACAAAGTAAACGGTGTCTTCACCATTCACTGCAGCCTGAGTTTTTCAATGGCGACCACTGAGCCAATCGACTTGGTGGCTCCGGAGTCTACCACGCATTTTCCTTGGTGCATGGCCACACTAGTAGGAATCCCGGTCCCCAAAGCGGCCTCCACGGTCCCTGCCTTCTCGGTTTCCCCGGCGAAGCAAACGAAGGGGGCTGATTCCTTATCCCGCGGCTTGTTCGGCGCCGCGCCCTGTGGGCACGCGCTCATCCGGTGTCCCTTCTTTCCACACGCCAGGCAGGTCATCTGGCTATCGTCCCGTGGTCCTCGCGAGGACCGGAAGTACTGCCTGTTCATCTTCACGTTGTGTTGTCGTTGTCGAGCGTCGCGAAGGGTCCGCCGTGCTTGGTGGAGTGCCGCCAAGGCGGACTCCGCCTCTCCACTGGCCTCGGACCAGAGAGCCATGCCCTCCGGCGTGAGCTCCTCTTCCGCCACGAAACTCATCTCGCCTTGGCCTTCGTCCTCATCCGAGGCCTCTTCTTCCGCGATGGAGCCCAAATAGCTTTGTTGATGCTTCCTGGAAGCGTCCCGCTTTTTCAGCTCGGCATCGGGGAACTGTGACCGGAGTTCCTGGATGATCCGTGCCGTGCCGAAGTCACCGCCGGCCGCGGTGATTACCAAGTTCCTTTCTCCAGCTTCCAAGT